ATACCCCTAAACATAACCATTACCAGTACATACCCCTAAACATAACCCATCCTCAATTGCCCCTAACCCCGTGTCTACATTTTTGTAGTGGGTATACTGGGCTTAGAAACCAAAGTACACCGTTAGTACACTGTAATTGTTAATTTATTTTGATTTTTTTTTTCCATTTACATTTTCATTTACCCTTTATTTATCCAGGTAGTCTCATTGAGCCACAAGAACTCATTTTCAAGAGAGATCTGTTTAGGGAGCAGATGGTGGGGGTTAAGGGCCTTGCTCATGGGCCCAGAGTGGGGCGAATGAGGGTGGGGGCAGGTGTGGGTACTTCATCTACCCCGCCCACATTTTTGATGTTGTTGGTACCGGGGCTTGAACCGGCGATCTTCCGAACACAGGCCCACCTTCTCTAACCTCTGCGCCACCACTCCTCCAGTTTTAAGCATATTGAACATTTCAAATTTTCTCTGATGCTTGTATTTGAATAAATGTACAACAAACTTTGTACAACAGTTAGCTTTGAATTAAAAACATGTTGTAGAATTTATTAAACAGTATCAAAGCAAAACACATTCAAGCATTAAGTAGTAAGTACAGAAGTATTAATTATAAAGAAAACAGGCCCAGACATCTCGTTCCCAGGCTAACTGGGAGAAGTAGTCTCTCCAGCGTGCCCTAGGTCTTCACCGGTTGGACTCACTTCTCCAGTACCCCTGAATAGACCTTACCAAGGAGGCTAAGGGGAGTGATGCTCCTATAAATGGAGTATACCCTCCGGCCCCCCTTTTTGAAGAGGGGAACCACCACCCCAGTCTGCCAATCCAGTGGCACTGTCCCTGATGTCCATGCTATGTTGTAAAGGCGTGTCAACCAAGACAACCCCACAACATCCAGAGCCTTAAGGAAATCAGGGTGAATCTCATACACCCCCAGAGCCCTGTCGCCACGGAGCTTTTTAACTACTTCGGTGACCTCAGCCACGGTTGTAGGCAGACCAACCCTGAAGCCCCCCAACTCAGCTACCTCCATGGAAGACATGCTGGTGGGATTGAAAAGGTCCATGAAATATTCCTTCCACCTCCCGATGACTTCACTGGTTGAGCTCAACAGCACCCCACCTTTGCTGAACACAATGTTAATAAAGAGTTGCTTTCCCCTCCTCAGTAACTCAATGGTTTTCCAGAATCTCCTGAAAGCCGACCGAGAGGTCTCACTGAACTCCTTCCACATCCGAGATTTGCCTCAGCAACAGCCAAGGTTGCAGACAGCTTGGTCCTCCAGTACTCCAGGCCTCCTTTAACACAGAAATCCAAAATGAGCAAAATGAAGGAGCCCCCAGCTGGTGCACTTTCCAGAACCCCCGCCAAGAACTCCAAGCAGGCCGGATACTCTGAACTGCCGTATGGCGCGTAGGCACAAACAACTATCAGAGCCCCCACCCCACCCACCCACCACCAAAAAGCACATGGAAGCCACCCTCTCATCTACCAGGGAAAACTCCAACACACAGGCACCAAGTTGGGGGTTTAAAAGTAGACCTACGCTAGCTTGGCACCTCTCATCATGGGCAACTCCAAAGTGGAATAAGGTCCAGCTCCTCTAAAGGAGATTGGTTCCAGAGTCCATGCTGTATGTCGAGGTGAACCCAACTATATCTAGCCGGTACCTCTGAACCTCACGCACAAGCTCAGGCTACTTCCCCACAAGAGAGGTCACGTTCCATGTCCCAAAATCCAGGTTTGGTAAGCCAGGGTCAGAGCACCAAGTCCCCTGCCTTGGGCCACTGCCCATGGTGCCATGCACCTGACTCCTATGACCCCTCCTGCAGGTGGTGGGCCCACAGCAAGACAAACCTATGTTGCTCGTTTGGGCTGAGCCCAACCGAGCCCTATGGGTAGAGACTCGATAACCAGGCACTCACCAATGAGCCCCTCCCCCAGATATGGCTCCTGGGTGGGGCGCTGATAACCCACGTCTGAGCAAGGGACACAGAGCTCCTCACTAATTTCTGTTCATTTTAGTCTTTAGAGTTCTGTTTATGATATTTAATATAATGAATCTTGCTTCTGTATTCACACAGAGCTTATATTTTACAGCCTGCTCTGCCTCGGTGATGCTGAAGCCCGAGAGAAGCCGAGGTCTGTGTGGGACTTTAGAGCTTCATGTTCCATCATTGACTCCCTGGAGGCTGAGAGGATCTGATCCACAGAACAGCTGCAGGGAAGGAGGACGCACACATTACACACAGCTCAATAAAGACTGATGGGAGTGAGACAATCAATGTCATTTACATGCAATCAATACTACCCAATTTCTACAAGTGTGGGAAAATGTGTCTGAACATCTCTAAAAAGCTGCTGCATCTGTCTTCATTGTTGAACTTCATAGAGTTCATGTTCAGTGTGATGGTGGCAGTGATGATGGAGGCACATAATAAGAAAATAAACACTCTGAAAACACTCATTCTGAAAGTTAGTGTGGATTTTGAAAATAAAATTTTAAAAAGTTCAAACACCAAAAGAACAAAAAATTTCCCGAGGTCTTTTGCAGTTAAAATGTTTGTAAAACACATAAATCAACTGTATAAAAACCACAAATCAATCTATTGTTTGCATGGCTGACTTGGTTTAGGAAGTTTGATTAAAACTTCTTTATCCAACCAGGCATTAAAGTTTTAGGATCTGAAGCTTTTTTTTTTTTTTTTTTTTGTCTAAACAGACAAAAAAATGACAAATGATGTGACTTTCAAAGTCATAACTATATAAGATGCAGATTTGCAAATATGGATTCTGAAGTCATAATTAAGAGACATGATACATATGAGTTTTAAAGTCTTAATTATGAGGTACAAAGTCGAATAGGATTTTTAAAGTTGGAATTAGGAGTGGATTTCATAATAAAATGGGAACAGTGTCACATCTAGAGCTGTCACCTCTGAAGAAGGTCAAAGTCAAAAGTCAAAGTTTCTCTATTTGTCATATGCACCACATGTGGTACATGTGGTGAAATAATAGTGTACGCAGGGTTCCAGTTACATTCAACTAAAGTATCAATTGTAAAGAAAAACACTAACAAGATCTAAGATATGAACTAAGAAAAATGTTAAACTAAAAGCACACTAAGCACTAGTAGTCCGGACAACAAGCCAAACAAACATGAGTCTGTGTGAGCAGATGAGTACGAATGAACACAGCAACATGAATAAATCAGCAGCATGAATAATCAGCAACATGAATAATCAGCAGCACATATCAACTATCAAGTGACATTACTGTAGTTATGTAGTCACAGTGATTATTCTGGTTAGAGATTCATGAGTTTAACAGCCTCAGGGTAGAAGCTGTTCCTCAGTCTAATGGTTCTGCACTTGCTCCACACTACACTTTGCTCCTCAACCTCCTGCCTGAGGGGAGCGGGGCAAAAAGTGAGCGTGCTGGGTGTGTCGCAGGTTTGCCTCCCAGCTTGGGGCCTTTCTGAAGGAATTTTGCATGTTCTCCTCCTGCACACGTATGTGTTTTCTCCCACAGAATAAAACCATGCACAGTGGCTTTATTGCTAGCTCTAAATTGTCCCTAGGTGGTTGTAAAAGTTAAAATTGTTATTTGGGATTTCTTATCACATAATCATAGTTTCAACTCTGGGATAAAAATGTGTCATGTAAAATGCATTCCTTAAAGAAGTGCTGGTCTTTATTTATGATAGTATTTAGTGTAAACATTTCAAGCTATCAATTTATCTACATTCAATAAGAAGTTCGTTTTAGAATTCCTATTTTATTACTTTACAATATGTGAATTGTACCAACTGAAACACTTGTCGAAGCTTAGTAGGATTAAAATTATGGTCTTTGATATGCTATCACACTGGGGGTAGCATATGGTGTGGGTTTTGCACAATTGGTTTTGTTGGAGTGCATTAAAAAGTTTTCCGTTTTACAATTATAACATCTGTAGTTTCCCCAACTCCCTTCACTATATTTGCTTCAACAAGTGAATCACTACTGAAGCCAGTGGAACAATGAAACCCAGTTTTATGGCATCAGTTTAACTGCCCCTGAGGCATTTAAGGGTAATTACAGATTACTCACGACAGTAGGCACCATTATAAA